TACTCTTTTTTAATTGAATCAGCCATTCTATGTCTTATGACTGGAGAATTTAGTCCCCTATATATAAAGTAATTATTGATAGTTTTGTACTTACTGCCATTTTGTTACTTGTTTTCTGGTTTTTGTAGTTGTTCTCTGTCCTTTCCCTCTTTTAGTTTCTTAACTTGTGGTTTCATAATTTTGTTTAGTGGAATGCTTGTGTTCCTTTCTCTCTGATTTTTGTATGTCTGTTGTAGCTTTTGATTTGTGGTTACTATGGGGTTCATATATGTTGATTTGTAACTATATTTATTTGTTTCAAACTGGTACTCATTAAATTAAAACACATTCTATAAGAGCTACACTTTTTTACTGCCCCTTCCTCGTGTTTTATGTTTTTGATGTGTATTTTACATCTTCATGTGTATCCCTTCACTGTTCACTGTAGTTATGTTTAATTTTATGACTTTTTATCTTTTAATCTTCCTACCAGTTTAGTTAAGTGGTTCATCCACAGCCTTCACTACATATTTGCTTTTACTATTGGAATTTTTCCTTTCCTATAGATTCTTACTTCCTATAGCCTTTTCTTTCCACTTTGGATCATCTCTTTTAACATTTAGTTAGTATTGATGAACGCTTTTAGTTTTTACTCATCTAATAAGTTATTTCTCATTCAATTCTAAAAGATAATCTCACTGTGTAGAGTAACATATATTGTAGGTTTTTTTCTTTCAGCATTTTAAATATATCATGGCCACTCAATCTGGACTGCAAAGTTTCTGCAGAAAAATCAGCTGATAGCCATATGGGGGTTCCCTTGTATATAACTGTTTTCCCCCCCCTCTTGTTGCCTTTAGGATTCTCTTTATCTTCAGCTTTTGTCATTTTAATTACACCTTAATGTGGGTCTCTTTGGGTTCATCTGCTGTGGGCTGCTCTGTGCTTCTTGTACCTGGCCATCTGTTTCCTTGCTCAGGTTTGGCAAGTTCTCAGCTACAATTTCATCAAATACATTTTTGACTCCTCTGTCTCTCTCTCTCTCTCTCTTCCTTCTGGGGCCTCTATAATGCGAATGCTGGTATGTTTAATGTTGTTCCACGGGTCCCTTAATCTTTTCTCATTTTTAAAATTTGTTTTCTTTCTGCTATTCTGATTGGGTGGTTTCCATTATTCTGTCTTCCAGGCCACTTGTGTATTCTTCTTTTTCACCTGGTCTGCTGTTAATCCCTTCTAGTGTGTTTTTCATTTCAGTTATTGTATTCTTAAGTTCTGACTGGTTCCTTTTTATACTTTTTAGTTCCTTGTTAATATTTCCACTGTGTTCACCTATTCTTTTCCCTAGTTCAGTTAGCATTATTATTATTAATGCTCTGAACTATTCATCTGGTAAATTATTTATCTCTGTTTATCTCTGTTTCATTAGTTGTTTTTTTCAGGTTTTCTTCTTCTTGTTCTTTCATTTGAAACAACTTTTACTTTCTTTTTATTCTGCTTAACTTTTTCTGTCTTTATGAAATTAGGTGAAACAGTTCTCTATCCTGGTCTTGAAGGGGGGTCCTTGTATGGGAGCATCCCTAGATAGTCTGCATGTGCCCAGTGGCTTTGGTGGGAGAGCTGGATCTGACATGAGCACAAGTCATATCTTTCCTCAGGGTATGCTGGCAGCTAGCACCTTGGTAGGTTATGGGCTGGAGATGGAGGGATTGAAGCCAGAGCCAGGTGTGACTCAGATTTCCCCTCAGCTCAGTGGCCATCACTGCCCTGTTGGGTGAGGGGTCTGGTCTCAGATTGCTAGAACAGATGCCCTGAGAGTTGGGTCTGAGGTGGTTCTATTCTGTGTGCTCTCCTCCTTTCCCCAGAATTGGTAACTTTGCCCCAGAGGGAAGCAGTGCTGGAACAAGAGGGGTCAGAGTGGGTACCTGGGGTGGACTGGGGTGTGTGCTGGAGTGGCCCCAGCACATAAGTCAGAATTCAGACCACTCTGGATCTGCCTGCTCCATGAGCACCAGTAATGGCTGCCCTCACCGCAGTTTGGGTGCTGTGCAGGTCTGAGCCAGCTCCCCAAACCCCCAAAACAGTACTCTTCCAAAAGCCGTGGCAGCTCTTGCCCTAGTGTCAAGCTGCACCACAGAGAACGAGAGCAGCCAAGTGAGCACTTAGCTTGGGCTGAGTCAGTCATTGGTGCAGTCACAGGAAACTAGCTAGAATCCTGGGAAATTTCAATGTGCTTCATCCACCTTGTTCCCAGGAGTTTTCAAACCAACTAAGGGAACACTTCTTCCCTGTGTCAGATCCCAGGGCTGGGGTGCCCATATGTGGTTCAAACTGCTCACTCCCTAAAAGGCCTATGTAATCCCCGTCCTTTTTTGTGTCCCCTCCCAGGGGTATGGTCCTAACCTAATTCCATGTGGATCTTTCTTACAGCTTTGGTTGTATAAGTGTCTTTCTGCCAGTCTCATTTGTTTTCAGTGAGAATTGTTCCACATGTAGATGTAATCTTGATGTGTTTTTTGGGAGAGGTGAAATTTGTATCCCCCTACTCTGTCATCTTGATATCCCTCTCTAGGATCATTTTGTATATTTCCTTTCCCAGTCCTAGATATGGCCATTTCTCCAAGAAGCCCAGTTCTCTTTTACTGGAGAATGGTATGAGAAACTAAGATCTCAGAGGTGAGTGTGCTCACCCACTCAGAGGTGGGTGGGGTCTTGTTTCGATGCCTGGAACCAACTGTCCACCTAAGGAGATACATGTATCTAAACTAATGTGTGTGTATGCATATAATGAGGATCATTTCTATGTCTATAGAATACCCATTTTGACAACCAAGTCATTACTCCTCAGTGGATAAAACTCTCTGACAGAATAGGTTATCTGAACATTTACATCTAGAATTTTACTCCAAACCAAAAGAAGAAAAAGATGGGTTTGGGGGACTTGGAGCATCCATTTTGGGTTTTTAAAATAAATTTCTCTTCCGGTCTCCTCCCTCCTTCCTCCATGTTTCTGCCTATTTCCCAGAAGTGGCTTATTAAGCTTTATTCATTTTCTGGTGGGAGATGTGGTTATAAAGCTTGCCAGTGTTGGCCAAAATGGCAACTGTGGCCACAAGTCTCCCTGGTTGACCTGATAAACTTGTTTGTGCAGCTAATGGATGTGGAGCTAAATGAGACTGTTTTGCTTTGGGAATACGATTTGAGGCTACCAAATCCTGGGTCTATAATATAGCACAGACACTAGATGCACCTTCTCTTTGTCCTCTCTGCAGGGAAGTAGAAGGGTCCCTGTGTTAGGAAAAGGGGACCAGCCTAACTACACCCAACACCACTTCAAGATCATATCTTAACACCAAAACCCACCAGGAGGAGTCAAGGAAAGACTATCACTGAGGCACAGCCTCACACCGAGCTGCTCTCACTGTACCCGGTCCACTCTGCCACCTGCCTGCCCATTTGTTCCACAAATATGGACTGTAAGATACTAGGCACAGGCTAGGCACAGGAACACAGAGGTGGATGAGGCTCTTGCCTCACTGCAGCTACCAGTATAATAAACAACACAGACATTAAAAATAAATAACTAGAATGCAGTTTGCTATGTATCATTTTGGAGCAAAGGATCTTAGCCTGGATCCATGGATATCCTTCAAGGTGTTCCCTTTAAAATTAATCATAAAAGTTATACATACTGGGTATTCCTTGTTAGCTCCCCCATTACATCTTCTCTATAACGCTCTGTGTCCCAGGAAGCTGACCTCTACTGTCTCCATCAGATGGGCTTACTAGCGGCCCATGGGCTTTTAGTTGGATTTGGCCAGTGAGATGTACCACTAGGAAATCTGAGAGGGAGAGAAAAGTAGGGCTATAGATTTCCCCACCAGTGGCAGCATTCCTCTGCCCAATGCCACAGCTCTTACTGGCTATCTCTCTTACAGTCACAGCTATAGTGCTTCTTGAGTTCGCCTTTGTCTTTCAGGCTTAGTGATGGTAACTGTTTCCTGCTTCTTGCTAGTCCAGAGTGCTTCACCATCCGTGTTGGGTTTCCTAAATTCTGCCCATATCTTTGTAAACAGTACCTACATCAAGTTCCATTCAATCATTCTGAGAGTACAGAACCCTAAAAATATATGTATCAGATTCTCAAAAAGGTCCATGACTCAAGAGGTTAAAAAAAGCCCCTTCAGCAGAAGTACATACAAGGTGATATGGCTCTAAAAGGAAAGTGTACTATCTATAATTCTGTTGGCTTCACAAGTGCTCCTCTCGAGATGCAAATCAGATCCAGTTATTCCCCTACTTAAATCCTTGAGTGGTTCTCAGAATAAAGACCAAACTCCTCCATATGCCCCACAAAGCCCCACCTCATCTACCCCTCTCTAATCTCACCCCAAACACTCTTTGTGTTCTGTACTCCAGCTGTTCTGAATTTGGGGTTCTGAACTTGTGTCAGGCTCCCTTCAGCCCTGAAACCTTGCACATGCTGATCCTTCAATCTGGAAAGCCTCTCCCATCTTCTCTGTTCATTTTCTGGGCCTTGGCTCAAGTGAATCTTCCCATGGAACTTTCCTGACCCTCAGTCCAGGTCAAGTTTCTCTGTTACATACCCAGTAGAACCCTGAATATATCTTCCAAAGCACTTATATTAGTTTGCAATACATTTTTGTCTTTTGTATTTGATATTTATTCATGTCAGCCTCTCCCGTACATAAACTGTAAGTTCATTGAAGGATGGAACCACATCTATTTCTGCTCCTAATTGTGTCCTCAGCCTTTAGCACAGAGCATGATATGTCAGAGATGCTCATAAGTATTTGCAGAGAAATGAATGACTGAAAGTTATTTGAATCAAGCCATGAAGGGTCAGTTTTCCAGGAAACACAGACCAGGAGTCTAAGGCCACCTGAGAGCTCAAAAACTGGTTAATCTACTCAGTACATCCACCATAAATTTTCTTAGGCAACATGCAATGTCCCCCCACACCCCTTTCCCAACCATGGATCAAAATAACTCAGAAAAATTACCTTTATATCAAGAGTGAGCATCAGCTCATACTGGTTGTAAAAGTCCTTGGAACTGGGCAGCTGGTACTCCTTCGCTGTGCCCAGGAATATCTCAATGTCATTCAAAGCAATGTCAACGCCCTCTCGGGACTGGCACTTGTCTACAGCTTGGGAAGCCAAGAGGTAAATTCCTGCTTCACACCACTGGCTGACCTTTTGAAAAGAAACACAGTGCTTTGTGCAGTTAGCCTGCCCACAGCTCAGCCACCACCATCCTCAGGAGGTCTAAGCTCATATAAGGTCCACAAGGATTCTGAGACAATAGGCAATTGTCATGGGATACCATGTCATCCCGTATCAAGTTTAGAGGTCCAGCCACTGTAATTATAACCATGACGTGGACAAGCCCAAATCAATTTTATGTCTACACACTTTTCAGGAAAGCCACTTAATCAAAAAAAATCACAAACATTCTTATCCACTGACAGTAATAGCCACATCTCTAAGAGGAGAGAGTTGAGTTATTTCTATGTTTGGTCTAACCATAGAAAAATACAACCAATGGCTTTTTGGGTCTAACCTCTAGGCCACTTTTGTTGCATCTTAATTGGTTACAAGAACACAGAGTGAAAAATGAGGCTTCAGACCTGGGCCCTCCATGCCCTCCCGACAGAGGGAATATCTCTTTTAACAAGAATAACATTTTCCTCTGTCCACGTTTCTATTTGTCTTTCCAAGGGAAGAATCTAAGGATGCAAAACTCTTGACTCAGAACAGCAGTACTTAAACTTTCCAGAATGTTGGGATGAAATCACATAGGTAAAGAATTCTAACAATTCAATTTTTAAAAAGCTTAAACAGAAAGACAGGGGCCCTTATGCTGTCTGAATATTTATATGAAAAGAAGCTGCCTTTGCAAGTACATCTGCATTACCATTTACTGTGTTACCTAAAGGGCTATGTAAAATAACTGTACAGAGAAAAAAAGATCCAAAGAGCTCCAAAGTAGTTATCTCTAAGTGCGTATAGGCAACATAAGTCTGTCTTGACTTTTCCCCTAAATTACCTATACTGAATGTGTACTACTTTTAGAATAACAAAGAAATCATGTAAAGATATATTAAAATGAATGATTCCCACTGTGTGGGGATGAGGAGGGGAGTGGAATGTAAGTAGTATCCATGAATAACTGTTTTCCTCCTCCTGATATTTTTGGATTTTCAAAATAATATGAAATTATGCTTTATACATACTGTAAAAACTTTCTCTTTAAAATCATGCCTATATCTGCAGAAAACACTAGGATGGGGTCTTCTGCAGAGTCACAGCAGCTACTTGTTTTCACACACACACACACACACACACACACACACACACCCTCGACAGATAGCATTAGGCTATTACGTCTGGAGCAGAAATGGAGTGAGGGAAACAGCAGCTAGCTAACCTTGCTAAGAACACAGCACACAGTGCAGGCTGTACTCCAGGCCCTTCTGAGCCACTTGCTTCTGGAGCAGCTGTATTTCCTTGACACTAAAATCCCTTTGGCAATGGGATGATGTAAACAGCCTGGGCGGGTGCTCCCAGCTATCAGAGAGAAACAAATGTGGGAATGGAGCATGCTGACTCATGGTATGAGCCCTGTGTTGGCTGGAACAGCTGACAGGGAAGGCTCCAGAAGTCACGGCCCCTGCTGACTGGCCACCTGCCTCAGAGATCACTGCTGAAGGGTAGCGGGGTGTGGGGGGAGGCACCCCCTGCCCATGAGTACTCTGCATACAGAGTTGCAGTCTTGGAATTTGGCCATCCTGACCTCAAATCTGCAATCCCCTAATTACCCCGTGTGTGGTTTTGGGCAACCTTTTATTCCAGGATTCCTCAGTGTTGTCTAGGTACCACCTGCATCAAATCACCTGGACACTTGATGAAAATACTGATTTCTGGGCATCATCCCAGACTTACTGAACCAGAGTCTCCAGAGTGGTCCATAAGGAAATCTGCAATTATAGCACACTCACCTTATGTACTAAATGCTGTGACTCATTGACCCATTCAACTATGTTGAATATCAATTTCTATCTCTTAAATGAGGCCATTATTATCTTCCTCACAGGTTATATTAAGGATTAGATAGATGATGCAATTATGCCCCTGGTAGGAACATAGTAGGTGCTCAATATATGGTAGGAGTGTATAATGGTCATTATTATTTAGGTTTCTTTAAAAGGATTCACAATCTGATGCCTTTAATGAGGAGAAGCACTTTGCAAGTATAATGCTTTGTTCTCTGTACACTTGATGGGGCATCAAGAAGGGCCAGGCCAGGTCAAAACACACTTTAAGTCTGAGTCCACACAGAAGACATGGATTTTTTTTCATTCAAATGGGATGTGGTGGATGGCTAGGGCATTTTTCACCTTCAATACTTCTATAACTTCAGATTGGTACAGTTTTTAATGTCTCTTGAGTGCTGTTCCACATGAAACACTTTATCTTCTGAACAATAATGAGGGGTAGGGAGGGCAAATATGATTAAGACTGCTTCACAGGACATTTTGCATACATCATCGTCACGGCTTAGTTTTGCTCACCTTGTCCAACCTTCTATGCAACTCCAAGGACTTTTCTAATATGTCATGTTTCTTTTTGTTTTCATTGATGAAGTCATCACAAAGGTGCCTGAGCTCCGCACACCTGGGTCTGATGGAGTCCACTGCATAATGGTGGCTTTGGATAAGCTGGTCCCCAATTACTGCAAGCAGCTGGGCCTTTTCCAAGAACTCCTGCAAAGTGAACATCCACAGCCAAGCATCAGAAGCTGAGTCATGGTGAGGCTGGGATTTGCCTGGCACTGTGTGTTTCAAATCTGGGGAGAGGCTAGGGAGATGGTGATCAGGTTTTAGGCTGAGAGCATGGGAAAGCACTGGGGTGGGTCAAGGTCCCCAGGAGGTCTAGCCTAGTCCAGGGTCATCTGCACTCTGAAGAAGAGTAAGTCATTCATTCAGATATTTGTTGAGTTCTGGGTTAGGCACTGAGGATATAGCATTAACAAGCTAGGATTTTTTAGTTCAGTGGAGAACTCAGATACTAAATGAATTATACAAATAATTAACTTATTACAACTGTGATAAGTTCCAGGGCAGAAGAGCATGAAGTGTTACACTGGACAGAATTGGAGACTGAATTATCCTGTCAACTGAATGGGAAAGGAAAAGGGATAGACATGTTGCCCGGAGAAGAGAGGAGAGTGAATTGAAGTTGAGACAATGTTAAAGATCTGGTTTGGGCAATCCTATGGAGAGATCATGAGACTTAAGAAATATGTTTGTCTAAGCTGTTTCTTGCAGCCCACAAGGTCCCTGTCTGCTCTCGACGCATCTGCTCAGCAACCGCATCTCCTACCTCTTTCTGCACAGCTTGTTTTGTTCTAACCACATGTGCCGTGTTTTCCTGTTTTTAATTTATTCATCATATATTATTGAGGCAGAAAAGTTAGCACAGCAGTCTGAGACTGTCATCCTTAGAAAGGTCTGTTTGCAAGGCTGGTCCTTGGCTAGCACTTAGGAAAGTCAGGAGGGTTCCTATCATCCTTAATTAGAATGACTCAAGGGACTTCCCTGAGTCAACTCGAGGTACAGTGGATAAGAATCTGACTGACAGTGCAGGAGGCATGGGTTCAGTCCCTGGTCTGAGAAGATTCCACATGCCATGGAGCAACTAAGCCCAGGTGACACAACTACCGAGTCTGTGCTCTAGAGCCCTCAAGCTGCAACTACTGAGCCTGCATGCCTAGCGCCTGTGCGCCATAAGAGAAGCCACTTCAATGAGGAGCCTGTGCACTGCAATGAAGACCCAGAACAGCACCCCCCCCAAATTTTTTTTTAAAAAAGAATGACTCATGATACCTAAACTCTTTGTGCAAAGAGTATGTTTTATGTTGAAGACCTGCTTTCTTCTGAGAGTCTGGAATTCTGGTTTATGCCAGGCAGAGGCCACCAACATGACGCAAGAGCCAAAACCTAAAGTGAGGGACAACCATGCAGCACTTGGCAGAAAGATGGGAGCATGTTTGACATGTTCAGGCAGCAGGAGGAAGCCACTGGGGCTGCAGCAGAGAAAGCAGGGAGGAAAGGATGATTAGAGAGGAAAGGATGATTAGAGAGGAAAGAAGAGGGTCTGACCAGGGAGGGCCTTGCTGCCATTGTGGGTGCTTTGTCTCTTACTCATTATGACATGGGGTGTACTGGAGGGTTTTGAGGAGAGGATCTTATTCATATTTTTTAAAGGATTGCTTCAGCTGTGGTGTCAAAAATGGCAGAGAATAGGGAAAGCAAGGAGACCAGTTACAGTGCAACTGCAGTAATCCAGATGAGCAACCAACTAGCTGCTATCTCGGCACCCTTCCCTGGGATGTTCCTCCCAGGTCAAAGCTCTTAGCCAACCTCCCAGGCCCGCTCCCTCACTCTGTTTTCATTTTTTAAAACCATTCACCTCTATCTTAAAGTATTTTCTTTCTTTACTTTAATATATGATTCCTTCTTCTTCCACCAATGCCCACCATTACATAAGCTTCCTGAGATCACTTAGCAGGCATCCCATAAATATTTGGCCAATAAGATAAAAGGACAAATGAACCAATGAACTAGGGGATGCAGTGATCTGCTTGGCTGGAATTGTGTGAACGACACTGACCTGAGTCAAGACAGAGGACTGCCATATCCTCAAAGGCCTCAGGACAGAAGGCCCACTCACACCCTCACCAACCATGTTGGGCATCCAAGCTGCCACATTTGCCCTGGTTTAGCTTTTCATAGTAACACAAGGAATCATGATGACCCCAGATGAGGACGATGTGACACTCTATTAATTTACAGTGGTCAGGATGGCTGCTATCCAAAAGTCTACAAGCAATAAATGCTGGAGAGGGTGTGGAGAAAAGGGATTTCAACAATTTTAAAGCCGCTGCTTCCTACCCAGTCAATCATTCACCAAGTCCCACAGAACACACCTCCTTCTTAATACCTTTAGAACTCTGAGCCCTTCCCTACCACCTCCTTGTCACTGTGTGTGCAGACCTTGGTGCTTTCTGACTGGGATAGCTGGTCTCCTTGATTTCCTTTAAACTCTCCTTCAAGTCATGCTCTACACTGCTGATGAAGCAGCAATTCTCTCATGATGTCTATTCATGTCTATATCACTTCAGAGCCTCAGATCCTTTCCTGGCTCCCTACCGTCTTCAGGAGGAAGTTCAAACTCCTGAGGAATGCACAAAAGGTCTTTCACTACCCGGTTCATACCCGTGCCTCCTCCTTGTGCACTCTGTCACCCTGTCCTCTGCTGTAACTGGACTAATGACTCCTTTGCAGTTCTCCCAACAGTCAGATGATTTTGAGCGTCTATACTTTCTCTACTCACTCTTTCTGCCTAGAAAGCCTCATCAACCCTCCCCTTACCTCCTCATCCCTACCCACGTACCCACACTACTCTGGAACTAACTCCAAACCACTCTTCAGAGTTCATCTACTTCAGGAAACTTTCTCTGACTCCACCATTTTATACTGATGCCCCTCCTCTGTGCTCCCATAACACTCTATGCCTTTTTCAACCAGAACATGAACTTGACTGTGTTGTGATCAGCTATCTACTGCCCGAATTATCCCACAGACACTTGGCATGCACCAGCTCTTTTAAGAGTACATAGCACATATTGGGTACTTAAGAACAAATAATTGTTGTGCAAAACAAAGGATTATTGTTTTGGGATAATGATATGGGAATAAAATGATATGAATCAAGCAGGCTTATTTAGAAGAACTTAGGGACAAATACCCAGTGTACTTATTTAAAACAGCAAAGGACCAGATTGGACACCATCACTCAAAGAAGGTTACAACGCTAATCCCCTGGGCAGTGATTTTGGACTGTTTTGCCCATTCCTGTGTCCAGAGCTCAGAGCAGTATGTGGCATGGTAGGAAATCAATAAATATTTACAGGATGAATATAAGAAGAACTGCTCAGCCACTGAAGATTGAACCTAGGAAACATTCTACAGCCCAGAATTTTCCCCACCACCTCTGTGATATCAATAAAAACATTCACTGAGAGCTTACCATATGCTAAGTACTGTTCTAAATGTTTACATTAACTATTCCTTTAACTCTTCACAATAAACCTTTAATGTAGGGGGGTGTTTTACAAAAAAGGAGTGGAGACACAATGGACCAAGGTGACCCAGGTAGGAAAGAGAAGAGCCAGGCTTCAAACTCAAGCAGTCTGGCTCCAGAATCTAGCTGCGGCCAACACACACAGAGAAAAATGGCTGTGCTTGTCCTGCCCGAGCTCAGAGACCTCATTTGGTTGATTGAACCTGTCTGACTTTAGCCAAATATAGAAGCAGGAAAACTTGGCCAGGAAATCTCTGTTGACTTTTTTTTCTAAGTCCAGCACCTAATTTATTAAGAATAGTGCAAGTTTTCTGGGCCCAGGGAACTTTACCAATGAATGCTCCCCAGGCGTCCTGTGGTGGTCACAGCTGCCCCGGATTTGGCATGCTGCATCACACCTTCAGAACTGTTCTTAAAATGCTTGCAATGTTGGAGGAAAGATGTGAGTAATAGGTCCAAATAGATTTGAGGAAGAGATCCATAAATACAACAAATGAGTCAATACCAGATGGCTGGAAAATAACTGAAATGAATGGATATTATTAATAGCTTCTAAGCTCTGACCACCTACTACGTTCCAGGCTCTCACTAAGTCCTTACTATACATCAGGTTAGTTCATCTTCCCAGGGACTCCTGTGAGGTAGGAATCATTATTATCCATTTTATAGATGAGAGGATACATCCAGAAAGGCTAAGAAACTTGACCAGTGTCACACAGTTGGTGGTTGTTAGAGCCTAGATTTGAATCCAGTTCCATCTAACTCCAAGGCCTGTGTCTTACCACCTTCCACTTCACATGGTCTCCCCACACGTGCTAGAATAATGGCTGTACAGCCATGACTATCAAATTCTTTAGTTGCCTGCAAAGAACTCTACTGCAAAACCTCCAAATTGCAGCTTGTTTTTCAGTCTATACAGCTTCTGCTCAAGGTAATCAGGGAACAAAACCTAAAAAGTAAAAACTGAAATAATAAGAAAGAAGTAGCTGAAATCCAGTGCTCCGATCATAAGTCTGCCTGGCATCTTTCAGATGCTGAAAATTTCAGAAGGCTGGATAGTCAAGTTGCAGCTTGTAATTCAAATCCTTTATTGTAATAACAAGTCCTCATACCCCCCACCCACCAAAGACTCTACTGCTATAATGGAAGATGGGCATGTCTACTGTAGAAGTAAATGGTGAAGAAGGGGTGATGCTGCCATATCAGGGAACCCAGAGCAGATCCACAGATAGTAACAGCAGAGGAGTGGAGTGCATGCATGGGGAAATGAGCCAGGTGAAACAAGAAAGGCAGAAAGTTAATGGTTGTTGGAACTGAGCTGTAGACACATGGGAGTCCCTTGTACTAGCCAATCTACTTTTTTGTGTGCTTGAAAATTTCCACTACAAAAAAAAGTCATGTAGCTCTTCCAGCTACATTATATCTCTCATGTAGCCCTTCCAGTTACATTATATCTCTAGGTTAATGATCTGCCTTCTTGGACATAGTAGGGTAACTCCTGGCCTCTAGCCCTGGAGGGAGATGTCAAGGCTTAAAAAGTGTTGGGTCTCACTGTTTTCTCTGTATCCATTCCTTGCTGGCCCATTACCAAAGGCCTGAGCATGCCTCACAGCCAAAAGCCTATAGGAAGTTCTGCTTTAAAGAAGTGAAGGGGACTGAAACCATCGCTTCTAAAAATGAGAGCTGAGCACCCAAAAGACAATTAAACCCTCAAATCAGAACAGGGTAAAAGAGCAGGTTCAATTAATATGCAAGAGAATCTGGTTAGAGAGTTGACTCAGAGGTAACCTGTGAGGATGATACCACTACACAGAATAAGGAACCTGGCAACAACCCAGAGATCAGTGTGTGGTTATGCTTCAAAAGAAGCTGACCCCAAGTGCTGAGAAAAGACAAACCTCAAGCAGATTTTGGTAGATTCTATCCAAACATCACCTCTTTCCTTTAACAATTTACAGGACAAAGAGATTAGCCAAACTCATATCACTTGAAGAAACAATTCCACTTAGAAATCTGAGTGAAGATATGTTTTAAAAGTCCTGATTACGATTAGATGGCTTTGGATCACTCAAAGGCAAATGGAAAGGTCTACTGCATTCTTTAGAAAACAAGTAAAAAGCCAGGGTAAACAAGGAACAGAATGGGTAAAACCAGTGTGGACTCTATGGGTCATCTGCAGTGGGTGCGTCCAGCCGGTTCAGGAATGTTGCCCAAGAAAGATGTCCTGTGACCACAAGTTTCACCCCTACCCAGAGTCAGCAATTTTTAAAGTATGTCCAAAGATCACAAGTCTAAGGAGGTGGGCAGAAGAGAGAATGTGAATGCAGTCATGCAGAGATCCATGCTCAGTACTTAAAACACAACCCAGAGAACAGTCTAACAGCTTTCCATTCCACCGAGAATAAAATCTAATCCTCACCACCAGTGCTCTCACCTGTTCTTTCCTAGCTCACCACAGTCCAGCCACACTACTGGGACTCCCAACCTTGTTTCCACCTCAAGACCTTTGTCCTTGCAGCTTCTCTGCCTCGGCTACTATCTCCTAAATCTTTGCATGGCTATCTAGATCTCAGATCAAAGGTCTGAGAGGCCTTTCCTAACTACTAAAGTAGCACCCCCCACTCACTTTCTCTCATGTCCTGTAATTTTCCCCATCTCATTTGTCACGATCTGACGTTGATTTATCTGATTACTGTTCACTTGTCTGTCTCTCCCCAGTAGAACACAACTTGTGTGAAAATAGGGTCTTGACTGTCTGGTTCACCACGATAGTCACAGAATCTAGGACAAGGAAAACCCAGTGATGAATGAATACCTTCCTATCAGATCAGCAGCTACCTTTGTGTATGTATTTATATATAAAACTATATTTTTCAAACCAAAAATGAAGGCACTGGGATTGATGAGGCATATTTTTCCTAAAATATGAATGTACATAAATGAAAATACATAGTATCCACATTTAATAAGGAGTTCACTTGAAAAAAACTAAAATTACATAAAATTGAGACTCTGAGACTGAGTATCTTGGGGACTCTGAGAGACACAGATATCACATACACGAAATTCAGCTTTTTTTCACCATTTAATAAACATTCCTCATAACTCATGCCTTTAGCACTAAAGTGATTAGCTGTCAACGACCATGGATAACAGGGGTGCTCACGAGGGAAGAGTGGGACTGCTGAGTGAGAGTCTGCGGGCACAGGTGGGCCTGTGTGCTCAAGCACTGCAAAAGCACTTTCAGCTCAGAACTCACAACTGATAGCTCTTAGAGCCAGAGTGGCCTTGCCTTACATTTGTTACCATTTTTTAGGGAATTTCCCCACTGGCTCAGCAGTAAAGAATCTGCCCACCAACGTAGGAGGTGCAGGTTCAATCCCTGGGTCAGGGAGATCCCCTGAAGGAGGAAATGGCACCTATTCCAGTATTCTTGCCTGGAAAATTCCATGGACAGAGAAGCCTGGCAGGCTACAGTCCATGGGGTCACCAAGAGTCAGAAACAACTTAGCAACCAAACAACAGCAAATGTCTCTAACAATAATGTGAATGTCAAACGCTTAACTTTAATGTGCATGTCAACCCCCTGGAGATCTTATTAAAATGCAGATTTTGATTCTGAGGCGGGGCCTGAGATCTCCCCATATTTCTAATAAGTTCTCACTGAGGTGACATTGATGCTGCTGGCCAGAGGATCACACTTTGAGAAGTCAACCTCTAGTACAATGAAATTACCATCTACCATAATCTAGAGGAAGGATGCCTCCAGATTAGCTCAGAATGGAAATGGCAACCATAGAAGACTTAGTTCCCAAGAGACAAAAAAGGGACCCTAATTAAAGAAAAGCAGAGAGGAACTTCTCTGGTAAGAACTGACTGGTCTTTCTTAATTTGTAACAAGCCAAATCTGTAAAGATTGAAGATAGACCCACTCCTAAGAGCTGATCTGTGTACAGATCTGGTAAACTGTTTAACTTGGGGATGAGAATTTGAGGCATTTATTTCTTTACATGTCTGATATTTACAACTCTTTGAGCATGAGAAAGGAGAAAGCTTTACCAATTCTGTGTAGTAACAGAACTAATGTGGACCAATTTCCCCTTTTTCACCATCTTGCTTATTATAAAACTAGTTTTGTTTTTTTTTTTCTGGTTTCTCCTTTTAAAGTTTCCCCTCCTTACCACCAAGCCCGCCTCCATATCCGGCAGTGGGTAACACACCCAATGTGACCTTACTTCCTGCTAATCCTCCCTAGCCTTGTCACTGAATGAATGGGCAGGGCCACCTGGAACTCTCACCCCACCTAAGCCTCCAGCCTCAACTGGGTGCTCGGGCAGCCTTAACAGAACTCCGTACTGCCTGCATTATTCCTCATAGTTGTTAATGTGCATAATTCCCTGGGGACCTGGAGGTGGGAGTGGGGTCACTAAAAAGTCAGTATTTGGCCAATCCTGTGTCTTTTGGCAACCTTCTAACAATTAATGAGTGGCCATGATCTGTCACCATCCACAGGGACCTTCTTCCCAGTCCACAAAAATGGAAAAAAACAAACAAACAAACCTGGCCTTCTCCTTCCAGTTTTTTGTGTTCCTTAAGAAGTTGTTCCACATGCACCACATTGTCTCCGATGTCTGAAAACTCTGCCTGCTCCGCCAACAAGTTGTCCAGGGCTAGCTTAACCTACAAGACATTTTAGAAAGCCCAGAAATAAGCCAATGGACATCCCATCTACAAGTATAGGCTTGTTATACTCTAGACAACTTGAAAATCCAAAAACAATTCAGGATAAGTGCATATCTATATAGACTTTTTTTAAAACAGTTCATCAGCTTTCAGATTAAACTGGGGGTACTGAAATGCCTTAATAAATACCTCGTAAATGTGATGAATGACTGAAGAATAAATTCAAAATGCAAATAATAATCTTAAAAGCATATCATCTAATCCCCAATTAAAGTAAATGAATTATGTTAAAAAAAAAAAACACACCTGGGGGTGCTGAGACAATGTATAGATGGAATGTTGAAGCTACGCTGAAACATAAAGGAAGGTAAACCATCACTGAAATATCATGTAGGAAAATGGGATTCTGGTACATTGCTACCCCCACTAAAAATGTGAGAAGAGGAATCAAAGACATATGGAAAGGACTGGACTAGGAAGAAGATGTGGAGCCTGATACCCAGAGTTCAAGGGGAAAAAGAGAACCAGAAGTCACTGAACTATGCACTCCCCTAACAGAACCATAAAAGGAAGTTTTATTAAACAAGAAAATAACACCTCACAAAAATTGTGTTCAAAGTGCTGTAGTTGTAGGTATTGATTAAGCTTCAAGTGATGCTCAGACCAGAACTGACTAAAGGCTTTTTCTGTTTCATCCAACTGAACTAATAACCTGTCAAGAAAGAACAAGAAAAGACATGTGATTAGCGTTCATTTCCATAGGCTCATGCAGATAACACCCATGTTTTCAGTCAGGGTTACTAATTGTGATGATCTCCTCACACTGAAGTCTGTGTCACCTATGACTTTCTCATGGTTCAGCTGGTTCCCCTATTTTCCATTTTCAATCAGGATACCCTCAGCGCTAGGCATAAACCTCAGATGCATCTGCCATGCTTTAAAATGTGCCCCAGGTAACCTTTAAAATGTGCTCCAGGTAATCTTACCTTTCTGCCTATTTCTTTCTACCTAAGAAGACAGGTATGCAAACACAGCACCTAACCAAACAGATTTTTGGCAATGAAGGCTCAGTAAATACTACCATATTCCTTGACATCCTGGGATGAAAGCAGATCATAGGAGGAGGGAATGGCTTTCTCATAAAAAGATCTCTGTAGATGGATGCCAGAAGGACACTATGGTTTTTCCTTTGTTGTCTCAAATATTCTTCCTTGACCCCACCAAGACCCATTGGCAGCTGTTCCAATCTGTTTTTGGTTGTTTCACATCATCTGGTTCTATGTATTCTCTCCAGAAAAAGCAGATACCACCCTTCTCACTCACCTTTCCACGGTAGCTACATTCTCAACTTCATTGAGGCTGAGTTTGCTGGTGGGACTTTTGGTTGCTGGTTCTTGCATGCATGACAGCAATGTGGCCCCTTGCTTTCCAAGTAATTTTAGCTCATCCTAGAGAAAGGAAAATATAGTCTCTCTTAGAAGGAATTAAAAGCAAATTCTAGGTAGACTTCAGATGAGTGCAGTGCAGTGGTGCATGTGTGCATTCTAAGTTGCCACAGTCTGACTCTTTGTAACCCTACGAACTATAGCCCACCAGGATCCTCTGTTCCTGGGATTCTCCAGGCAAGAATAATGGAGTGGGGTGCCATTGCCTCCTCCAGGGGATCTTCCTAATCCAGGGATCGAACCCGAGTCTCTTATGTCTCCTGCATTGGCAGTCGGGTTCTTTACCACTAGCACCACCTGGGAAGCCTGAGTACAATGGTAAGTATATTTTTATTATATTATTATATTTAGCAAATTAAGTGCTAAGTAGAAGTCAAGCTATAGCTTTTTAAATTGATTAACTTGCTCCTAATAGATAATACAAACACATGATACAAAATTCAAAATATATAAAAGAGTACATATTGAAAAGAGGCTTCCAAGGTGGTGCTAATGGTAGAGAACCTGCCTGTCAATGCAGGAGACATAAGAGATGCATGTTCCATCCCTGAGTCAGGAAGATCCCTTGGAGGAGGGCATGACAACTGACTCCAGTATTCATGCCTAGAGAGTCCCATGGACAGAGGAACCTGGCGGGCAATAGTCCATGGCATCGCAAGAGTCAGACGTGACTAAAGTGACTTAGCATGCGCACATGCACATATTGAAAAACCAAGTGTTATATCCACAGCCCATCCACATTCCCACTCCAAAAGCAACAACTCTTAAATTTTGTGCATATCTCAAGTTACTATAAATTTAAAATAATTAGTTAATAAAATCTGTTTTTTAATCCAAGATAGTGGCCAGAAATAAGAAAATGACAGATATCAAATGTTAAGTGATGGAAGATGCCATACACTTAACCATGATAAAAACTTCATCTGGTCTCATCAATAAACACCTGCTAGTCCTGCCCCTACCCCAAAGTGTGGCCTTGTTCAACTATCAAAGTACAGAGGAGAGGAGCAGCAATTTCAGTTTGACATGGGAAGATTCATATTTCCAAGTCAATTTTATTCTCAATAAGTCTCTCTGTGGAGACTTAGGGCATTGCAACTGAGGAAGATGTCAGGTTATCTCCTTCCAAATCCAGTGGCTCTAGTCCTCTGCTTGCATAGTGCAGGTGATCTCTCAGTGCCCTGATCATTATATATAAGGTAGGCCAAAAGGGATGGACTATGGCCTAGAATTTTGCGGCTGTGAATTTGGGGTTTGGTTCATGGATCACTCAAGATGCTGGTTTGGTATGCCCTAAAGGTAAGAACAGGCCCATAATTACCAAGCAATCTCCTCGATGCACACAAACAAATCTCTTCCTGCAGGCCAGCCACCACCAATCTCACTGATGCAGAGCACATTCATTCCCCGTGGAAGGGTTTTATACTCTCTTACTCCAGTCACACAGAAATCCAGGCCCTCTCGACCTTATACCTTTGCTCCTTGTCCCCCATCTCATCTCAGGATTCAACCCTGGGAAGGCCTCCACTACCTACAGCCAGCCTCAAACTTGTCCTAAGATCTGGACTGATGACAGATTTGACTCCTCTGATCACAATTCTCTGGACAGACCCTGTGGCTCTGTCCTCTCCAGGTAATGCCCCAAGTCGGCCACCTGGCTGGTATTCCTGCCTGGGAACTGGACATAACCCTTCTTTTCCACTCTCAGGTATCAGCCCTCATTTCTTATCTCATCAGTGCTCATTAAATATTTGTAGGTTGGATGAATTAAAAATAGTCTAAAGAAATTAGGTTGCAGATGGATTAAAAACAAGATATGATGGGGGGAAAAAAAGCAGTCATTAGTAAATGCTCTTAGCTTTTCCCTTCTCCTTCTCCCTATAGAAAAGCTTCAATAGGGTTACCAAAATCTGCCATAAACATGGAGGGAAAGACTGAGGAACTATGGTACTTGGACAGCATAAAGGTAAGTTGCCCAAACCCAAAATGGAGTTTGTCCTTGTTCACAGTGGTGACAATTCAAAATATTTAATACCTATATAGAGCAGACCACTGACAAATCAGCACAGGAGTCAGATACAACCTAATGATTGATGATTGTTGCCCTAGTCATTTATTTCATTACAGTTTTCTAACTCTGTTATTTGTTTACATTTATTAGCTGTTTCCTGTAAAAAAAAAAAGAGAGAGACTTTTCATGTTTTAAACTTTAAAATTTTGAAATGAAAACAGACTTACAAAGAATTCCCATATATTTTTTCATCCCTATTCACCAGCTGTTCACATTTTGTCACATTTGCATTCTCTCTCCTTCCCTCTATTCCTTCTTTTCTCCCTGTCCCATAAATTGTTTCTGAACCATCTAACGTCATTCACCAATATCGTGCACCTTTTGCCCTAAGAGCATGACTCTTAAATACCCACAATAGTAAAAAAAATCTAGATGTTTAACACTGATACAATATCTAATATGCAAATTTCACATTCAGATTTCCCCTGTTGTCCCAGTAACATCCCTTATAAAATTCCTTTTTCTATAATCCAGGGTCCAATCTAGACTTGAACACTGTATTTAATTGTCATATCTCTTTAGTCTTTAATCAGGACCAGTTCTTTGGCCTTTTATTCTTTTAATCACTCACATTTTAAAAGAGTATGGGCCACTAGATAAGTTTTCTATTATTTGGGGGGTTATTATTACATACTCAAATTTTTTTATTTTTTACTATGTTAGTCAATTGTAGTCATTATTGTTTTTGATGGTTAAAGTGTCCAACTCTGGTCATTGTGAGCCCCTCTTTGAGCTGGTTCTCCCTTTTTGATTGAGCCTCGATTAATCTTTTGTACCTTTCTAGGTTTTTGGCAAAACAAAATATTCCAGGTCCTTCTTGTATTTTCCTTTCTTGTCTTTTATATTTTCCTCTTTCTCCAAGGAGTCTTGCATTCTTTTGATAGAAAGTGATATTTATAAATCAAGATCTGAGTGCTAGCTGGCATATGCATTGTTACTAGGGTGTCTTTGCTTCCAGGTTCTTTTGAGTGGACAAAGCTAGGAAACATGTTTTCAAAAACCATCAGATTATATAGGTATTTTAAATTCCAAATAAAATTAACATTATTATTGGGATTTCCTGCAAACAAAATAGAGTCAAATTTACAATGCCAGCACAGTTGTCCCTTGGTATCCACAGGGATTGGTTCCAGGACCCGCCTCAGATACCAAAATCTGCAGATGCTCAAGTCCCTTATATAAAATGGTATAATATTTGCATATAACATACAGACATCTTCCTGCATATTTTAAGTCATCTCTAGATTACTTATAATACCTAATACAATGTAAATGCTATGTAAGTCATTTCCAGGTGCAAGAAAATTTCCATTTTTCACTTTTAGAAATTTTCTGGAATTTTTTTAAAGTATTTTCAATCCACAGTAGTTTGAATCCTTGGATTAAGAACTATGAATACAGCAGTCAGACTGCATAGCCATCCTAGTAGGTATATCATTGCAGCTTTAATTTTCATTTCTCTACTGACTAATGATATTGCAGATGTCTTCACGTGCTTTGTGCTCAGTCGCTCAGTTGTGTCTGACTTGTGATTCCATGGACTGTGGTCCACCAGGCTGCTTAGTCTGTGGGATTTCCCAGGCAAGAATACTGGAGTGGGTTGCCACTTCTTTCTCCAGGCAATCTTCCCAATCCAGAGATTGAATCTGTGTCTCCTGCATCTCCTGCACTGGCAAGCAGATTCTTAATCACTGACCACCTGGGAATTAATAAGTCATTTATATACCTTCTTTGGATATATGTGTGCATGCTAAATAACTTTAGTTGTGTTTGACTCTTTGCAACCCACGTCTATTCAAATCCTTTGCCCATTTTTATTTTTTAATTTTTACTTATTTTTTGTTTGGCACTGCTGTGGCTCGCAGGATCTTAGTTCCCAGATCAGGGATTGAACCCAGGCCCTCAGCAGTGACAGCAAGGAGTCCTAACTACCTTTGCATGTTTTTAAATTGAGTTATTTTCTTTTTATGGTTAAGTTGACAAGAATTGGTGTCATATCTACAAAACCATTGCTTAATCTAAAGTCATGAAGATTTACATCTGTATTTTCCTCTAAGTGTTTTATAGTTTCAGACTTTACATTTAGTTCTTTGATCAATTTTAAGAGAATCTTTATACATGGTATGAGGCAAGCCTCAATTTCCCTTGCTTCATGTGGATGGGAACTTGCTTCCCAGTGGTCCTGGGATCATTAGTTTTGTTCCCATGGAAAGAAATTCTTGGTTGTTTTTTTTGGTTTTTTGGGGTTTTTTTTGTTTGTTTTTTTTACTGCTGGCATTCAGGCTGGAGGAGGAGCTCAGGGACTTGCTTATGGGAACATCTATATATGTTTTTGGGAGTTTTGGTGAGTTTTCTCTTGTGCAGATAGGATCCTAGTGGCAGCAGGTGAGTGTGGCCATACTGCTTGTACACTGAGAGATGGCCTGTATTCTGTCAAGGCTGCCTTTCCTCAGGAAATGAGAGCTCTCCTTGGAGAAGGATCCTGTGTGCACATGCTCTAAATGTATGCTCCAACTGTCCATCCATGTGCAAGAAGCACATACAGGAATGGGATGAGTGTGCTGAGTTATGTGTGCTTGTCTTGACTTATGAGGACCTTAGTCTCCCACCAAAGAAGACCAGTACTGAATGTGTGTACAGGACTCTCTCTTCCTTTCTCTTCCTCAGATGGTATAGCAAAGTGAAGTGAAGTGAAAGTCACTCAGTTGTGTCCGACTCTTTGTGACTCCATGGACTATACAGTCCATGAAATTCTCCAGGCCAGAATACTGGAGTGGGGAGCCTTTCCCTTCTCCAGGGGATCTTCCCAATGCAGGGATCGAACCCAGGTCTCCTGCATTGCTGAAGAATTCTTTACCAGCTGAGCCACAAGGGAAGCCCATGGTATGGCGAAATCACAGAGAAAATAAAGTTTTAAGTCTTAATATGGGGAACTCCCTGGTGGTCCAGTGGCTAAGACTCTGCACTCCTGATACAGGTGGGCTGGGTTCGATCCCTGGTCAGGGAACTAGATCCCACATGCCACAACTAAGATTCTATGCAGCCAAATAAATAAAAAGAAATGTTTAAAAAAAAAAAGTCTTAATATGAAGCCCAAGTGCCCACAACCTGATTGGACAGAAAAGAGCACATATTGCTATTGGGAGCCTTTTTGATCATAAATATGGATTAAGAGCCAACGTGTGGCTCTGCCTTAAGGAAAGAATTTATGTTTCTTCTAGAGAAGAACTCCTTTAAAGTGATGTTTGCTTGGAAGTTTGGTTTGTTTCTTCTGCTATGAATGTTCTGAGACTTTTTTTCTTTGTAACCAGATTGGTTTGATATACAAGTGTGGTCAAGACAGAAGAGATTCTTTTGACGATAATTCTGAAGAATGTGGTAACAACTACATACAGAATCAGTGCAGAGGCTATAAAAGTCCTGAAGTTCAACAACTCTCCTACTTTCATTGGCTGATTGTAGAGGTAACTATGTACTTATGTGAATCTAAAATAAGGGCTCTCAAAGATCCCCTGGGGAAAGGAAATCAAGAAATTAAACCAAGTCTCTTAATGCTGTGTTGTTCAGACAAAAACTCTCCAGGCCTGGAGGAAGCCATAAATCACACACTATAACTTGTGTAGATATTTAAATGGACTTAAAAGTTCACTGTTCTGAGAATCAGTCTTACACTATTTTTTCATTTGGAAAAGATGCTTTCTAAATAAAAAAAAATATTCAATTAGTTGTAGAAACTTTGGTTTAAAAATTAGGTAAAATACTCTAATCAAAATAAAATAAAATTATATATAAGTGATCATAAAACTGAGTTATTAGTAAAAGTTTAAACAGTGTTCCTTTTTTTGTAGTATAAACCCTTTCTCTCTCTAAAGCATTTTTGGATCATAAAGAGGAAAAATCTAAATCTAGTTTAATGATTTTGGAATTTTTGCTTCTAATTTATAAGATATGAAGCAAAGAAATCAAAGTTGTACCAGGTCAACAATTAGTAATCACAGAAGAAACACTATGTATTGTCTTTAAAAGAATATTAATATTACTTGGTCAAATAAAGACAGAATAATTTAAATTTAACCCAAATTCACTTAATACACTTTTTTCGTCCAGTTCTACTGAGATATAATTGACATATAGCACTGTGTAAGTTTCAGGGTGTACAGCATAATAATTTGACTTGGACACATCCTGTTTTAATTCCAAGAACTTCTGGCTACTGTGAACTAAAAAAAATGACACTACTCCATCTCGGAGGCTGGTTCTACCCCTCCCTTTACCTCTGTGGAACACTGCCTGTGTAGAGATGACAGAATACTTACTTATCTACCTTCCCTGTGAACCCTCACTGCCCCTACAGCTGGTTTCACCCCTCAGATATGTGTCCTCATCTAAAATCCAATTTCTGTTTATCTTTTCTCCAGAGGCCTCCCTGATTGGCCACCTGGTCATCTTGATTCTTCTTCTCTGCAACCTCTCCCAACCCTTCTTGGAATGACATACAGAACACACCTTCTTATGAGCCCAGGCTGGAGCCCTGTTCACAGTGCCTTCCTTTAGGCGCTGATGTTCAGCATCACACCCATATATTAATTGATGCTCTGCAGTCTTCTGTGGTCTGTGACCTGTGGGCATGGATCACCAACCCTTTTCTAGCAGACTTCAGAGAGATGCCCTAGACCCAGCCTTCCACACCCCATGCCATCTTCCAAGAACCATGGGAGGTGAACTTGGCCAATATGTTTGGCAATGAAATAGGTCAAGCTTCTAAAAGGCATTTTCAGGGAATTTTCCGGTTTCTACAGTTTCAAACCAGACCTTTTGATTACTCAGAGAAATTCTGAGAATATATTTTGAACTCTTTTTGGTAACCAAGACCCTTAAAGACAGAATTAAACAGTTTTCCCTGACACATGGAATAATTAATTTGCCTCAACTACCTGACTTTGACTTCCCTAACTAAACTATGTGTTCTTTGAGTTTGCATTTTGTTTGTTTCCTTGGAATGTGATGTTAGGTCATAAATATATGCTGAATAAATAAAAACTCAACCACCTAGCAAAACAAAATTTTTGCATATTTTGGGTCACAGATAAGAGAGTTCAGCTCTTCTTATGCTCAACACAGCAAGAATACATGTAATGCTATGATGTGTCAACCTTCAATCCTTGATTTGCTGCCTTGTTGAGTCCTGGAAGGCTTGTGTGCTTAGTCTCTCAGTGGTGTCCAACTCTTTGTGATCCCAAGGACTGCAGCTGGCCAGGCTCCTCTGTCCATGGGATTTTTCAGGCAAGAATACTGCACTGGGTGGCCATCTCCTCCTCCAGGGAATCTTCCCGAACCAGGGCTTGAACCTCCATCTCCTGTGTTGTCTGTATTGCAGGCAGATTCTTCACTCACTGAGCCATTGGGGAAGCCCTCTCTTGCCAAATAATAGCTTTGGTCTGTTTGTGCTTCTGGTGGCGGAAAGGGGCTAACACCCATCCAGTAAGACCTGAGAAGACGTCTCTTTACTGCATGGCCTAAAAGAATCTGCCAAGATCCCTTCCCAGCAGGTTCTGACATGATTTTATGAATCCTTTAATAGGTGCCTCTCCTTAAATCCAATTCAGAGTGCTTTCATAGTCCTATTTCTCAAATTGGTTCCCAACTAAAAAGACACATCCCTGAGAGAAGTGAAGCAATAAGCCAGCTTATTATTCTGCCCCCAAACTTCACAACAACCTCAGGAAAACTTATGCTTCAAGAGCCAACTCCCATCCCTCCCTCCTTCCCTGCAATTTCAGTCCATTATATCCTGTTTTGTCCTGAGCAGATCATAGGAGTGTGCACCTTGAACGGATGTTCACACACCTTGTCTCACGAGCACCAAGCCAGAATGAGTTCCCTTTGGAGGGGCTGCTTTTCACAGGTCTTACCTTCAATTCTTTCACATGTACTACCAGTCATTCAAAGATTTTTCTCTTCATATATTGCCTATCTGGAAGATTAAAGATGGTTAGTGGCTGCCAAGTCACTGGAGAAGAGGGCTTAACTTTTAATTTTTCTCCCAGAACTCTCCAAGAAGCTGACCATCTGCCAGCACAGAGGCTGGCCTCTGACAGATCACTGACCACTCACCTGCAACTTGTTACGCTGCCTCATGTGGGACATGAGAAGGTCTTCAGTGGAAAGGATGCTTCTGGGCAGCTCTGTTGTAGCCAGGCAGTCCCCAAAAGTCTGAAGCATCTGGGCAGTGGTCTTCAATGCCAGAGCAAAGTTTTCAATGGCCTGGAAGGTCAGACAGTCATAACAGTGTGGAGGGATTAACATTCACCATTATGCTATCTTAATAGGACAGAAGTATTTCCTGAGTGTACACAGTAGGCTATGCATTGAACTTTGTGCTCTACATTTGTCTAGCACCTCAGTAATCTAGAGTGGGAGGTATTTCATCTCCAATTTATGAAAGACAGAACTGAAGTTCTAGCAGGTCAAATGAACTGGCCAAGATCATATTACTAGGGCAGTAAGGAAGGAAAGAAGGCAGGATCCAGTCAACCTCTTTGTTTGTTTGTTTGTTTTCTTTTCAGGAGTTTTTTTTGAGGATCAAAAGGAATGGCAAATTTGAAAGAATCTTGGGCACAGATGAGTACCTGACAAATGTAACAGTAAGAACTAAAACAATCAGGTGTAACGCCTGGAAATGGCATCCTAGAAACAAGGGAAAGCCAGAGGTTTCCTGTGGTGAGTCCTATTAACAAAATAACTTGATTCCATGCATCTGATTAGTGAATAATCACTAAGTGGAAAAGGTACAAAGGAACTGACCCTAATAGGGTGACTCAAAAAAGTTTGGTCTTAGTCTTGGCTCTGCTACAACTTGACCCAATGACCTTAGATAAATTACCTCTTCACTCTGAAGGTCTGTTCCTTTATCTGTGAAATAATTATATGATGTTTTGCAGCATCCTTGGCCTCTACCCAGGATATGCCAGTTAACATCCTTCTCCCCAAGTTATGATTATAAAAAATGCCTGCCTAAAAACATTGACAAATGTCCTCTGTAGGCAATATCGCCTTCAGCTGAGAACCCACTGTGTTAGTCCCATTTTAACAGAGGAGCAGACAAACTTAGAGAGGTTTAGTAAGTCACCTGAGCTCAGACAATACGCAGTGGTGTCTACATTTAGATGCAGCTTCTTCTGACTTGGTAGGTTTGAATCTGTCTGTACACTAGAATTATCTGGGGAGCTTGTGGCCCACTAATGCCTGACACTCATCCCAGATCAAGTATATTAAATTCCTTGAGGTATAGCAGAGTATTGGTATTTTGCAAACTCCCTGGGTACACTCTAAATCAAGTCCCCCAAGACTGCTATACCAGAAAATGAGGCAAGATCAAAGTAATCAGCAGGAGAAGCCCCAGCTTTTATCCTTCCACCCTTTCTCTCCCCCAGCCTGTCACTTAGAAAACCCAATCTTCCCGATGTTAGGTAGTCATGGGCAATGACTGTCCAACAGTTGATCTTTAAGTCCCTGTCTCTAAAACACCAGGAGGGACGCTGAAAAGGGCACGTAAGTTGGTACTCACGGTTCGATGATTTATCCACTGACTGTGGCGATACTCCAAAGTTCCCCCTAAATCCTCTGTCAATTGGCTTTTGTCAATGTAGTCATGAAGGTCAGAAATGGAGTTTAACATAACAATCTATAACAGAAAAAACCTAATATATTCCTCACAGACAATTAAGTAGCTTATCAAGATTATAATAAATAGTACTTCAACTTGGCCTGATCAGGCATTTATATCCAATAGAGAAACATTTTAAAATCTCTTTCCATTTCCCCACTTTGAGGGAGGAATAGGAGTGTTGAACAGCCTACAACAAAATGATGAGCTCAGTTCTAAGCTACGTATAAGTCAGGTCTTGTTTAGCTAAATTTTTGTCAAAAGTTCCCGGGTTAAGATACACCCTTCAGTCACCAAAAGCAAATGCTCTGCTGAGACCTAAAAATCTGCAATGAATATTCCAATAAAGGGTGGACTGGTAAACATGAAAATAAAATTATAACAATGGGACACATTGAAAAGTACAGAGAGAAGATTCACTACAAAGCTGCCTCTTCTCTGAATAATGGTGATATGCCCCCAACTAACCTTGTGTGGAGGAAGTTTGGAGGTGATAGGGAGTGGGTTTTCATAAATTAGTGAGCCTGCTGCTGAATGAATGCCCAGATATCTACAGAAGGATGACACACTCCAAATTGTCCCTTTATCCTCCTCTGCAGTGGTCGTGCAAAGGGCATGGTCCCAGCTCTGTCCCAAGGACCATATCATACCCCCTACTCACTCCATCTCTGAAACACACCCTACTGTAGCCTTTAACTAATGACTTATATTTCTTCAGTTGTTGATTGTTTTGACCTGTGAGTATAATAAACTTCTTCCTCCAAAGCCTTGCCCTCTTTTCCTCTGGTGGCAGTACTAACTTTACCATGTCATATCCAACATATACATTCTTAGAACAGATTCTTGGTCAGAGGACATGAGAATATACACTTTTTTCCCTAATATTATATCATATTAGTCAAGTGATAAATCTACTTTAGAATGAAACAACATGGATATTGTTTTATGTTTTATGCTAAGTGAAAGAAGTCAGACTCAAAAGGCACTCTCAGGAAAAGACAAAATTCTAGGGATGGAGAACAGATCAGTGGCTGCTGGGGTTAGAGCTGAGTACAAAGGGCAACATCAGGAGATTTTGGAGGGTGATGAAACCAGTGTGTTTCTTTACTGTGGTTTTGGTTAAATAACACCATGCATTTGTCAAAACTCATACAACTGATGCTGGGAAAGATGGAGGGCAAGAGGAGAAGGGAGTGACCGAGGCTAAGATAGTTGGATGGCATCACTGACTCAATGGACATGAGTTTGAGCAAACTCCAGGAGTTGGTGATGGACAGGGAAGCCTGGCATGCTGCAGTCCATGGGGTCACAAAGAGTCAGACCTGACAGAACAACAACATTCAACTCAACATAAAAAAGAGTAAATTTTAGTGCATGCAAATGAAAAAAAAAAATGGAGCGGCAGTTTCATCATGAAACTTTTTTTCTCTTTGAATCTTTAATGGGTCAAGAAGGAAAAACATTTTAAATTCTACATAAGAGGGGAAGCAGAATAATTTCACTCATCAAACTCATAGAACACACTGAGTATGTAAACTTGGCCTTAAAATAGTTATTCTGTGTTTTCTTATGTTCTGAATTTGTCTATTTGGCATCCTTTCATCACAGGGCCAGTTATATTAACTAAATTAACTTATTTTCTGTATTCTTGATGTTCTGGCATTTATGGTCTCACTGACTGGGGAGAGGCTAATTAATTTTTAAAGGCTAATTAATTTTTAGAGATTAAAAAAAGGACTGGAGGGAGCACATCTATCATATGAAAACCAATTCCAAGCCAGTGTCCCCCAACTACTTTCTTAACTAACTCTCATACGGCAACTCAACATTTCTGCTGCCCTAAATCATCCTAGGGGACTTCCCTGCTGGTCCAGTGGTAAAGAATTCACCTGCTAATGCAGGGGACATGGGTTCAATCCCTGATCCAGGAAGATTCCACATGCTGCAGAGCAACTAAACCTGGGCCCCACAACCACTGAGCTCACGCTCTAGAGCTCTTGAGCTGCAACTACTGAGCTATGTGCTACAACTACTGACGTTCACACACCCTAGAGCCAATGCTCTGCGACAAGAGAAGCCAACACAATAAGAAGCCTGCACATTACAGCTAGAGAACAGCCCTTGCTCACCACTAGAGAAAGCCCATGTGCAACAATGACGACCCAGTGCAGACAATTATAATAATAGTAAAATGAAATGAAAAATTAAAAAAAAAAATCATCCCAGGGCCAGGTAACAACTAGAGATTCACTTGCTCCAAAGCCTGCTGAAACTATTTCAACCAGTCAGTCCTAAACTGGTTACCCTGCCCTGCCTTGCCTTTCCCATGGAAACCCCAGTAAAGGCTCTGGTCTACACTTTCCCTTCCCCTCTGCTTCTGCCCCCTGGTCAAAACTTGGTGCTCCCCTGTGGCCCTGAAAGGCATGTGATGACCCTCCAACCTCCTTTGGGACCTTTGAGTTTAAGAAATTTCTTACTTCAAAGCCTCCTTCTCATTTCCTCCTGAGGCTGGAACTGACATACCATTTCCAACATGTACATTCTTAGAACAGCTGTTTTACAAGAAGAATGTCATATTTTTTTTATTTCAGTATATGTTTATGTTCTTATCTATAGCTTCTTAAACAGTTGTTTAAGTTGCTTTCAAAGAGAACTATGATATTTAATTTTGAAAGGAGAATTTCCTGTATTATGTTGCAAGGTTCATTTTAAGAAACCAATTTGCATGTCCATAGCCTCTTTACGGATTTTTGCAAGACTGCCTGGGCCACTTCACATAATTTTGTGATTTAGCCATGAATACAGCTGTTCCAAGATAGACAAGTGTCAGCAACAGGCACTTAGAAACCACTTGCCTTATCAAAGCACCCCTCTCCTCAAGTTAAGGTACAGCAAGGCTCAGTGACTTAATTGTAATTACAACCTTAGTCCACTTGATTCTTTTGAGTCATGCAAAATGAATTCCTTTTTCCTTCAATCTGTGAAAATATAACTCTAACTAGAAATAAGCAAGGAGATGGCACAGTAAGATGGGCCAGAGAGCTGTAAGGTAAAGTACTAATATTGCAACCATATTTTAAAAACAAAGTAAAGAAAACAAACCAACAACAAAGCAGCTTGAACTGTCATTTAAAAGGCAAAATAGGTCTAGCAATTTCATTCCTGGATATTTATTTGAAGGAAAAAAAAACACTAATCAGAAAAGATATATGTACCCCTATATTCACTGTGGCATTATTTACAATAGCCAAGATATGTATGCAACTGAAATATCTATCAATAGATGAATGGATAAAGAATATGCAGCATATTCATACAATAGAATATAACTCAGTCATAAAAAGAATAAAATCTTGCCACTTGTGATAACACAGATGGACCTAGGAAGTATTATGCTAAGTGAAATAGGAAAGGAATATACTGTATGATTTCACTTACATGCGGAATCTAAACAAAACAAATGTGCAAACCTTAACAACACAGAAACAGTCATAGAAACAGAGAACAAACAGGTGGTTGCCAGCGGGGAGGCAGGTGGGAGAAGAAAGGAATAGGTGAGGGAGATTAAGAGATACATACTTCCTGTTGCAAAATAAATGAGTTATAGATATGAAATGTACAGTGTGGGGAATATAATCAAATACTATGTAATATCTTTGTATGGTGACCTAACTAGACTTATCATCATGGTGATCAGTTTGAAATGCATAGAAATATCAAATCACTCTTTTATGTAACAGGAACTAGCAGTGTTGTAGATCAATTACATTTCAAAAACAAATAAGCAAATCCATAGAAAAAGACAAAATTGTGGTTACCAGAAACAGGGGTGAGGGGAGGGAGAATTAGATGAAGGTGGTCAAAAGGTGCAAATTTCCTGTTATAAGATAAAACAAGTACTAGGAATGTAATATATAACATGATGAAGATAATTAATACTGCTTTTTGCTATATATGAAAACTGTTAAGAGAGTAAATACTGAGTTCTCATCATAAGAAAAAAATCTATTTTTCAAATTTTTTAATTTATGTGAGATGATGGATGTTCACTAAACTTATTGTGAAAAATCACCTCATGGTGTACGTAAATCAAATCATTATGCTGTACACTTTAAACTTATGCAATGCTGTATATCAGCTGTATAGCAATAAAACTGGAAGGAACAAACAAATGAAAAGGCAAAATATATGCTGATGTTTGAATACATCAAGCTTGGTAACTAGGACTCTGAATTCTGTAGTGCAACAGAGTGTGAGAGGAGCTCAGTCTCCTTTGGAAGGTGCAATGCTAGGCTATAAGGTAAACATTTTGCATTGAAATACATCCTACTATATGAGCCCATATTTTGGTGACTAAGAGATTTTTTTAAAGTTCATTTTAGGGTAAAATTAAAAGCATATTGATGTGGATAAGACTCCTGAAAGTCCCTTGGACAACAAGGAGATCAAACCAGTCAATCTTAAGGGAAATCAACCCTGAATAGTCATTGGTCATTGGAAGGATTGATGCTGAAACTGAAGCTCCAATATTTTGGTCATCTGATGCAAATAACTGACTCATTGGAGAAGTCCCTGATTCTGGGAAAGATTGAGGGCAGAAGGAGAAGAGGGCATCAGAGGATGAGATGGCTGGAGGACATCACAAATGCAATGGACATGAACTTGGCAAACTTCAGGAGATGGTGAGCTACAGGGAGACATGGCGTGCTGCAGTTCATGCGGTCGCAAAGAGTTGGACATGACTGGGCAACTGAACAACATATTGGTATCAATATGGAATATTGGAATCAATATACACCATCACAAATAGAAGCAGTTAAAGACAGTATCAAGATGAAGCAGACATTCATTCTCTCCTTGGTATCAATGCACTACATGTAAAGCAAGGCATAAACCACAAATATGTTTGTCAATATATTATCACTTGCAAAGGTGTGTTTTATACACACCAGGGCAAGATGCATGATGTTTGTCAAATGTTCAGTTCAAAGTCCAAACCTTTTGAGTTACAAGAAGCAATTGTCTAGTCGTCACCTCTGAAGGGGAAGAAAGCTTATGAGGATCATGGCAAGTTTATTAACTTCTTATAAGGACTTATCCCTTCTCTAATATTAATTGTCACTCAATTCAGGAAAGCAGAATAAAAACAAATCCATGGCTCACATTTCCCTTAAACACTGAAATATTTTAAAATAAGTATTTACAATAGAATGGAAAATTCATTTTGATTCTGGTTAATACCAAAGTATAGGGAGACGGTATTTTAAGAAGTTTGATTATTAATACAAAATGGAACTATTAACAGAGGGAAAATAAGAATGGAAAAGAGAAAAATTCCTTGTTTGAGATGATCAGTTTTCACTAAGAAGAGCTACATATTTTCTCAGAGCAATTTAAATTAAAGTCGGGGTGTTTTGGGGTTTATTTTGAACAGACAATATATGTAGGTGGTAACAAATTCAAATAGGAAAAGACTCTACAGTAATAGAAAAATAGTGTTCTTCTCACCCCTCCCCATAGAACCCCAGCCCTACATTCCAACCACTTCCCTCAAAAGTTCCCTTAGGCCTCCTTCAGGTGTCCACTATCTCCACCACTAACAGCAGCCACTGTTTCAATTTTCTATCACTATAGCTTAGTTTTACCTCTTCTTGAAATTTATGTAAAAAGAACCACAGGGTATACAATATCTAGCTTCTTTCTTTTAAGAGAATATTTCTGAGATAAAACCACATTATTACATGCTTAGTACTTCACTCCTGTTTGTTGCATAATGTTTTTTATATTAATTTGCCACAATTTCTTTATCTATTCATCTATTATTGGGTATGTGTTTTCATTTCTCTTGGGTGGATCATGGGGCAGGTGTATGTTTAACTTTACAAGAAACTGCCAACTGTTTCCACCATGGTTGTACCACACCTTACCACTTTTGATGGCTGTAAAGTATTTAATTGCTTGGGTAGACCATAATTTATTTAACCAGTCCCTTATTGTTGGGCGTTATGTTTTTTCCAACCATTTACCATCACAATTTGGTAATGAATATCATTATATATACAGTTTTATGTACATGTGTGATGTATCTGCAGAATAACTCACAGGTAGGTCAGAGAGTGTGTACATTTTAATTTTTGATAAATACTGTCAATTAGTCTCATATTAGTCACTACCAACTTCAATCCAATCAACAAAAGTCTGAAATGACGGTTTACCCCATATCTCTGCTAAAATTAGAGGTAAAATTTCTAATCTTTTCATTTTAATTAGTCTTCCTTTTTTGCATGGGCTTCCCTGATAGCTCAGTTGGTAAAGAATCTGCCTGCAATGCAGCAGACCCTGGTTCAATTCCTGAGTTGGGAAGATCCCCTGGAGAAGGGATAGGCTACCCACCCCAGTATCCTTGTGTTTCCCTTGTGGCTCAGCTGGTAAACAATCCACCTGCAATGTGGGAGACCTGGGTTTGATCCCTGGGTTGGGAAGATCCCCTGGAGAAGCAAAAGGCTACCCACTCCAGTATTCTGGCCTTGAGAATGATCACAAAGAGTCAGACATGACTGAGTGACTTTCACTTTCACTTGTATGCATATCACAAGGTTGGTTTTAATTTTTACTCACAGTTACCTATACTTTTCACCCCCATATTTTAGATCCTTATTTTCCTTTACTCATACTATTACAATTTCTCTTCCTTTTTCAATCTCTTTGTACAGTCTTGGATACCATCTTTACATAATACCTCTGGATTTATATAATTCCAGTACTCCTTTACCCAAGTAACTACCCAACTCAAAAACCTTCACTGGATCCCCATTGCTTACTGAATTCAATCTAGACCCTCTGTCCTTACACTTAAGACATATTCCATATGCCTTACCTTTTCTTCCAAAAGATTATCCTGTACATAATTCCAACAAGAATGGGGCTTCCCATGGACCTCACATAAAGTATGTACTTCCTGCTTCCATGTCCTTACACATGCCATTCCCTCTGCCTAGAATGCCCTCCTCTTTCTCTACCTTCTTTAGAAACAAGCTCATATGCTATCTTCTCCCCGTGCCCTAAATAAATGCAGACAAGACAAAAAGATCTTGCTTACCGGCACTTTCATTTTAAATTCACCTCTATAGTACTTAATGCCAATGTCAGTCAATGTTCTCTGGATAAAGCAAGATGGACGAAGAATGAATATGAGCTGCAAGTTTCCTGGAAATGCTACCTGGAAGGATCATAAAAAGTGTCAACGAAAATGTCACATCAATCAGTCTCCTCTTGCCCAAGATTATAGATGACAAAGTTAAAGTGGACACCCTGGATGCCAAAGAATTAGGATATATTTCACAGCTGAAAGAGATCTTACTGCTCATATAATTCAAACCCATCCTTAAAAACCAAATTAACCAAACAAAAAAAATTTTCTGATTAAAAAAATAATTTACACTCTTTATAGAAAAATGCAGAAATTTATAATAAAGTATACATTAGAATAAGAAAACCACCCATGATTTCATAGCCATTTTTGATATTTCAATCTAATCTTTTTGTTGTTTAGTTACTACATTATGTCTGACTCTTTGTGACCCCATGGACTGTAGCACACCAGGCTTCCCTGTCCTTCACTTATAGGCTATTTTCTTGGCTTAAATATCTTTATCATAAACTCAAACTGTAGAAATATTTTGCAATCTGCCTTTTAACTTAGTATTATACCATGAGCTTTTATTCCTGATATTAAAAATTCCTTGGAATGTTTTCATGGGTGTGCAATTTATTTAAACAATCCCTTATTGTTAGTGATTTAGCCTCCTCCATACTTTTACTATCATAATAACAGTAAAATGAAATCTTTACACATTTTGGAACATTCTTCTTGCTTCCTAGAAGAATTACTGAGTGAAATATTTAGTATTTTAAGGGTTCTTAAGGCATCTTATTCAGAGAAGGCAATGGCACCCCACTCCAGCACTCTTGCCTGGAAAATCCCATGGACGGAGGAGCCTGGTAGGCTGCAGTCCATGGGGTCGCTACTAGTCGGACACGACTGAGTGACTTCACTTTCACTTTTCACTTTTACACATTGGAGAAGGAAATGGCAACCCACTCCAGTATTCTTGCCTGGAGAATCCCAGGGACGGGGGAGCCTGGTGGGCTGCCGTCGATGGGGTCGCACAGAGTGGGACACGACTGAAGCGACTTAGCAGCAGCAAAGCATCTTATTGCTAAGTTGCTTTCAAGAAGCATTGCCCTCATCTTGAGGTAAGGTCTTGAGTAATGAGAAAACAGGTTCATTTAACAACTTAGTGGCAAAACTGGGAATCCAAGTTTCCCATTGCTCATGATTTTCCATTCTTTCAGGAGTTCTCAAGAACAACCTCCTGAAGTGTTTATTAAAAAATAACGTGGTTTTTACCCTGGAATATTCTGACTCATTAGGACTGGGATAAAGTCCAGATATCTATATCTTTAACAAGCCCATGAAGAGATTCTGACTGGTAGTCATATTTTTGATCCCAGCACTACAGCATCTTTTACGCATAAAGGCGATCACTGTAATTCTTGGACAAATTAGACTCAAGTATTAGGTGATTCAAGTATTATCTATGAACCCTGGGAAACCAGAACTCTATAGAGGCCAGACCTTTTGAAAAGTCATGGGCACTGTCAACTGTCTGTGGCTGAGTTCATGTGGCTGAGTCCTTGGTCTGAGGTTCCTACAGGGAAAGGATGCATACACTTGCTGGAAGGGAATAAATAGGGGTAAAAATCAGACTAATAAGATGGAAAAGGAAAATGATCCAAGGTTGTACGATTTAATGCTAAAAGGAAGCTCATGTCATATACTGTCTGGTTTTGCTAGTGTCTTTTGAATTTGTGAAAAAGTAATTTGAATACTAAAATGAAGACTGTCATAAAATAAAGTGATCCCCAAAGCGAACCTTAAAATGAGGATTTGGGTCTCAGGAGTTTACTGAAAGGTGACTCCAGGAAACACAGTTAGGAGTATGGGGCAATGGTGAGACAGGATGGCTAGAAAGCCAGTGTATCAGTGAGAGGAACTGCTATGGGCAAGAAGGGCTGCTGCTGCTAAGTCACTTCAGTCGTGTCCGACTCTGTGCAACCCCATAGACAGCAGCCCACCAGGCTCCCCCGTCCCTGGGATTCTCCAGGCAAGAACACTGGAGTGGGTTGCCATTTCCTTCTCCAATGTGTGAAAGTGAAAAGTGAAAGTGAAGTCACTCAGTCGTGTCCGACTAGTAGCGACCCCATGGACTGCAGCCTACCAGGCTCCTCCGTCCATGGGATTTTCCAGGCAAGAGTACTGGAGTGGGGTGCCATTGCCTTCTCCGGCAAGAAGGGCTAGGTCTTCTGAAATTCTGTGTGGAATATACCTCAGAACTGCCCCACTAAGGGGTGCAAATCCTGGGGTGCTTGTCCACTAATGCCCATAATGCAGTACTTGCAGGTCACTCCTGGAGCATTAGCTTCCCAGCACTCTCTACCTGCTCCTCTCCAGTGACCAGAGAGGTCAATAAGGTAGAGAGACTCATGCTCAGGAATGGTCTGCAAGTGACCTTTGGGCAGCAGGGGGGATATGGACGTGACACAACAGCCTCTGCTACAAAGACCTTCCCAAACTTGGCATAAAATAACTGCTACTTTCTGGTGACTTTGATGTGAAATAGTCGAATAGATAGTTTAAATTATCTTTATAGTAAAATATAAAAATAAATATTACAGCTATTCGTGTCAAGGATGCTTTTACGGAGCTCCACTTGTCCCTCCGTCTGTCGATGACAATGACGAACCCGATGCTGGCAGCCTCCACACTGCAAAAAAGAGTGGTCAGTATCAGAGGCAGTGAAACACATGGATTCTGTTGGGCTCCCTCCGCAGAATGATTGCACTGCCTCAGTGTCACTCCAGGCTTGCTGTGTAAATGCCCTGCAGAGCATGAGGGGATAACCAGGTCTGACTTCCCCAAGAAAGGAACCGGCTTCCTCTCCTCATCTCACCTGGCAGCCTTCACAAGGCAGAAATATTTCATGTCTCAAACCCTCTCAAAGGCCCTATTTCTGGCCGGCAAATGTATGAAACCCTCAACAAGCAGAAGGATTCATGTAAGTTGAGTATCACATGTCCCGGTGTAGACAGAGGACCTTGAGGTCGAGCTCTGCTATCTTTCCACTCCTAAGACTAACGCTCATGGAGCTATCAACATGCTTCCCTAGAAGTCAGTCCCATAGATCTTCGGAAATAACATACGTCAATGGGAAAAACAGCTCCTTTCCAGAGCCTGGTCATAAATGGCCAAAAAACCATAAGTACAAGGAGATATCAACTTCATTAAGAACAAAAATCTGTTTGGTCCACTCTGAAGTCACCACAAAATTCTCACAAAATTTTTAAAAACTAAAGTCCTAAAAGGGAAAACATTTTTCTCCTCTCCCTTTGGGAGGAAACTATGGGAGGAAAGAGCAAGAACTTTGGAACCTGGTTCAAATCCGAGTGCTGGAACTTTACTAGCACTGAGACTTGGGGCAATCACCTAACCTCTCTAACCCTATTCCCCTATCTGTAAGATGAGAAAGTGAAAGTGAAAGTCACTCAGTCCTGTCTGACTCTGCGATCCCATGGACTATACAGTCCATGGAATTCTCCAGACCAGAACACTAGAGTGGGCAGCCTTTCCCTTCACCAGGGGATCTTCGCAACCCAGGGATCAAACTCAGGTCTCCTGTATTGCAGGCAGATTTTTTTACCAGCTGAGCCACCAAGGAAGCCTGAATAATACCAATCATGAAGTAGTTATGAGCACAAATTCTGAAACCAGAATGATGAAATTTGAAACATGAATGTATACATTTGTGTGTATGTATGTGTGTGTATATGTAAAATTTTCAACTGTACATAGGACATTCATCAAATAGTCCATTATCCATTATCCCAGGCCACAAAGCAAAATTCAACAAATTTTAAAGAACTGCAATCATACAGGTTGTACTTCTGATCACCATGGAATTAAGTTGGAACTCTATTATTTTGTTTTATTTTCAACTCCCTTCCTCCCTCCCTCTTCCTTCCTTCCTTCTTTTCTTTCTTTCTTTCCAATCTCCTTCCTTTACTTTTCTTTGGATTTAATTGCCAGTATAGTTTAACTTCTTAATGTAGAAGCTTTTATCACTGATTTTAAACATTTCTTCTTTATTATTATAAGTACTTAAAGCTATGTGTGTGCGCTCAGTAGCTCAGTCATGTCTGGCTCCTTCTGACCCCCTGGACTATAGCCAGCCAGGCTCCTCTGTTCATGGGATTTTTCAGGTAAGAATACTGCAGTGGGTTGCCATTTCCTTCTGCAGGGAATCTTCCTGACCCAGGGATTGAACCCATATTTCCTGCATTGGTAGGCGAATTCTCTACCACTGAGCCATTCAGTGGTAAATTTAAAGCTATAATTTAAAGCTATAATTTAAAGCTATAATTCCCTCTTAAAAACTGCTTTGTGAGAGTTGGACCATAAAGAAAGCTGAGCTCCAAAGAATTGATGCTTTTGAACTGTGGTGTTGGAGAAGACTCTTGAAAGTCCCTTGGACTGCAAGGAGATAAAACCAGTCAATTCTAAAGGAAAGCAGTCTTGAATATTTATTGGAACAAATGATGCTGAAGCTGAAGCTCCAATACTTTGGCCACCTGATGTGAAGAACTGACTCATTGGGAAAGATCCTGATGCTGGGAAAGACTGAAGGATGGAGGAGAATGGGACGACAGAGGATGAGATGGTTGGATGGCATCACCGACTCAATGGACATGAGTTTGAGTAAGCTCCCAGATGGTGATTGGTGATGGACAGGGAAGCCTGGCATGATGCAGTCCATGGGGTCGCAAAGAGTTGGACACAACTGAGCGACTGAACTGAACTGAAACACTGCTTTAGCTACATCACATAAATGTTGATATACTCTTTTCATTATTGTTCAGCTAAAAATGCTTTCTAGTTTCCTTTATGATTTCTTCTTTAGTTTATGGATTATTTAGAGGTGGTTGCTTGGCTTCCAAATATTTTTTAATTTTTTCTAGTCAGCTTGGGGAAGAGAAGGGGTAGGAATGCAGACATTGATAGAAAAGAAACCTTCTTTTCAGGAGGAAACCTTCCCAGTTGTTACATAGTGTATAGACAGGTATATATTCATCAAGCTATAGAGTTGACATGTGTATACTTTATATAAATTATAACTTAGCTTAAAAACCCAAGGAATTAAATAAATTCAAGTTGTGAAAAAGGGAAAATATTATATAACTTAAAAAAAAAAGACCAAACTTAGTGAGAGCACAATAGGTATCAGGCACTGACCAAAGGGCATAAAACAATGACCAAAACCATTCTGTAGTACAGCAAAAACAAATAACAATAATTTGTTATTAACAAATTAATAACATTAATAACAACAATAATCTTAAACAATAATAGCTACGTGTATCTTGAATTCCTATCAGCTGTCAGGCATCTTTATGTTTTATCTCACTTCATCTTATTAAATAGATATTATTATCTCCATTTTACAGATGAGGAAACAAAGGCTGACAGAAATAAAATAACTTGCCTGACATCACACTAGCAAAACTGGATTTCAAAGTCAGAGCTCTCTGATAGCAGTGCTTATGCTCTTAACCCCATCCCATGGCACCCCTTCAGTATTTTCTTATAGCAAATCTGCTTGTATCTTCTGGCAGTTTTATTTTCTATATTTTGTTGTTACTAGTGTTTCCTATGTCTTTTCTTTTTCCTTTAAAACAAAAAATTATTCAATTTAATGCTCCAAGGGTTGAAGTGGAGCTTCAACCACTTCTTTAATTGAGGTGGAAGTGGGAGAGGCTCAGTAAATATAATATAGTACATAAACACAGATTAAATAAACAGCTCCCTGCCTACTCTCCCTGTGGCTTCCCCAGCCCGGTTGAGGGTAAATGCTCCTCAGTTCCCTGCACACCAAAGCCCAAGACCAGAGCATCTTGGGTAAACAGGGTGGGATCGAACAGTGTCTTCTGACACAATTGTGTACAGGCCATAGTTCAGAAATAAGAGTTAATGAATCATGACAATAGTTTTGAATATAATCCTTCACATAAAGAATGCATTCTAAACAACATGAAAATTATATCAGCTACTGAGGAGATTATTTTTCTACCCCATCTGGTTCAACAAAATAATCAAAATTTCAACAAAACCAAATGCACAAGAAATGGGGTTTCTAGACCATGTATTTCTTTAGGTAACACTTGGCTATTTTAATCCCTATTGTTCTTGTTAACACTAAGATCCTATGATAGGTTAGCTGCATAAATACTATTTAATATAATCCTCACAACCACCCTCACAGTCAGGTTGGTGATAATATTGCCACTTTATAAATGAGGAAACTAGTCCTCAAGATGGTTAAAATTATAATAACTTGTCCAAAGACATACATTATGTGCAGAGTTAAAATTCAAATCTTCTAAATTCAAGAGCAACACTCAAGTCACAAAGTTCATACTCTCTTGGTATAGAAAATATTTTTATACTATATCCCTTCATTTCCAATCTTAGTAATTCTTCTGTAAAAAATATAATTGAATTTTTGATGTGTCAAAATTTTGAATATGATTAAGTATAATATTGGGTTGGCCAAAAAGTTCATTTGGGTGTTTCCCTAACATCTTACAGAAACCCAAAATAATTCTTTGGCTAACCCAATACATGAGTGTAAGAGACTGAGGTAAATGTGTTCTCACCCCAAAATACCAGACCAATTTTGTGGTCGATACAGCACATAGTTTCTTAATTTAGCTCTAATACTGTTGTATTTTCTATGCTTTGCCTTTTTCAGTAAACTTGGTATTTGTTGTTCAGTTGCTAAGTTGTGTCCAGCTCTTTGCGACCTCGTGGACTGAAGCAGAATCATCCCCAGGCTCTTCTGTCCTCCACTATCTCCTAGGTATAGAAAATAATTAGCTAATTGAAATTACACCACATTGCCATAAGACTGAGTCAAATGTAGAGTAATCAACCATCCTGGCATGTCCAAAATACCCTCCCCAACATGGGTGGGCATCATTCAACCCACTGAGGACCTGTATAGAACAAAAATTTGAAGGACAATAGGATTCATGCTCTTTCTCAATCTGACTGTTGAGCTGGGACACTGATCTTCTGCCTTCAGTGATTCTGACTCTCAGGCCTTCAAGCTCAGACTAGAATTTACAAAACTGGCTCTCTGATTTTTAGGCCTTCAAACTATACCACTGGCCTTCCTGGGTCTCCTTCTGAGCCTCCATAATTGTATAAGCCAGTGCCTTATAATAAATACCTACATCTACATATCAGGGTTCCTAGAGAAATGTAACCAATAACATATATATATATACACACACATATATATTTATAAAGAGATTTATTACAGAATTGGCTCAGGTAGTTATAGTGACCAAAAAGTTCCTTGATCTGTCGTCTGCAAGCTAAAGAACCAGAGACACTGGTGGTATAACTCAATCCAAGTCCAGGGCCACAGAATGGAGGAGCTGATGATTTAAAGCCTGATCTGAGTCTGAAAGCAGAAAATCCAGGAGCACTGATGTCCAGGGGCAAGAGAAGATGATGTCCAAGCTCAAGTAGAGACAGAATTCACCCTTACTCTGCCTTTTTGTTCTGTTCAGGCACTGAACGGACTAGGTGATGCCCGCTCACACTGGGAGGGCAATCTATTTTTTTTTTTTTTTTTTGGGAGGGCAATCTACTCTACTCAGGTTATAAATTAAAATGTTAATCTCTTATAGAAATATCCTCACAGAC